TTCCGCTTGTCGCGTTAATGTATTGTGCAACAAACACACACACACACACTTATATCCTGCACAACTTTATAGTTGTAAATTGCCGAATACAAAAAGAATGTATATAGATAGATGTACTTGTATATAAAAAAAGAGGGAAAACTACATGCAACAACTGATAACAATGTTATCAATGCCTTGAAGAGCTGTGCAAATTCAAATTCAGAATCAGAATCAGACTGAGACTGCGACTGCGACTGCAACTCAAATTCAAAACGCAAAAGGGGAAGTTGCAAGCGAACGTTGCACAAACGTTGCATCCCATAGATTTTTGCGGGGGGCAGCAACAGGACATCATCGTCAAAGGAAGGCCATGACCATGACCAACAAAAAGAATCCCAATTCGAATTCGAGTCCTTGTTCATGGTCGCACATTCATATCCTGGTTGCATTATCGTTGCCTGTCACAAACAAGTTGCATGCCACAAGAGAAAAAGCGAGAAAGAAATAGAGAAAGAGAAAGATAGAAGCTTTCAAATTGCTCAAAGAAACACACATTGTTCTTTAAATAATCGAGTATTTGGAAAAGTATTTAGAAAATGATTGTGTAAAACCAAGAAATGAAATGCTTGAATTTATGGAATTACCAAATGTGCAACTAAAAGCGAAATCGAAACTGAAAAACCGAGTTAAAGTGCGGAGAACCTTTCGAATTACTTAAAGGAAAACGAACATATTGTTTTTTTTTAAATAGTGAAGTGTGTAAGAAATTAAAAATAAATAGAAAATAAATATAAATTCTTCGAAAAAAATCAAGTATTTAGGAAAGTATTAAGTAAATGAAATGAAATGCCTGAATTTATGGAATTACCGAATGCGAAACTGAAACCGAGACCAAAAACCGAAAAACCGAGTTAAAGTGCGGAGTTACCGCAATGGTTGCTCGAGTGGCAGCAGGATTCAAGGATGAGGGGGCAGCCATGTGTGTATGTGTGCATGTGTATGTGTGTGGAGCTGCGTTGCCAGGTGCAACTGCTGCTAACTGCTAACTGCAGCACGGCTGCTGCTGCATGTCAAAGTCAGCCGGCAAAGCCGCAATCATGCTGTTCTCCTCCCACGGAGGAAGGAATCCTTTGAGCAGGGGGCAACTCCTTTCCTGCCACACACACAGATACACACAAACAAAGAGACACACACACCCATACCCTTTCCCCAGTAATAGAATGGAATTATAATTTATACGGTTTTGGGCTTAGGTTTCCAACAGGTTGAGTTGTTTGCGTACCCATTACTTGCCACATTCGTTGATAAGCCGACAGGAAAAATAGAAAAAAATAGGAAAGAAAAAGCAGAAGGGAAAAGTGAAAGTTGCAGAGGCACAAATAACAAACACTTCTCCCTGGAGCCTTTGAATCTCAATGCGAAATGGGGAAAGTGGATCCGAAACCGAACTAGAATCTCAATCTGAAGTCTGGAACTTATGGAGATGTGGACGCTATATGCAGCATGTTGAATGCTCAACGTTGAATGTTGAATGCGAATGCTGAATGCTGAATGCGAACGGCTGCCAGTGGCCATATGCGGTTTAACCCCTAACCTTTGGCTTTTCAAATGTCCACCTCAGTTGTGTGTGTGTGTGAGAGTGTGTAGAAAAGTAGGGGGAAGTGGGTGTAAAAGGGGGTTTTCTTGTCAGGGGGAGAATCTAAAAATGTCTTTCTCTGGAAAAATGGAAATCCAGGGGGGGGGAGTGGCAAGCAGAACTACTCAATGCCACTTAAGTAGAAAGGCGGGCAAAGTGGCAGCGATATATGGGCGATATGTGCGGCAAGGATGAACCAGTCCCAGTGGACAATTAAGAGCAATTGCCAGGACACGAATGCTGAATGTTAATGCCCATTAATATGCAATCCGGTTGCATTAGGAAAAGTGCTGATGGACATCCTTCAACCCAATCGCCAATCGCCAATCTCCACTTGCCACGTTGCAAAGTGCTTTGTAAACTTTTTTTCTGTTCCGTTTTTTTTTTTTGGTTTTTCTGTTTGTGTCGTGCAAGTCCATTAAACAAAGCTTAGCTGAAATTGAGCGAACACATCGAAGTGGTCGCTCCACTCAATTTCTCAATTTCTCAACTCCTCAAACCGTCAATCTGCCTCAATCCGTCAATTGTTCTCGGTTTCGTCCCTTCCATCTGTCCAATGTCGAGTCAATCAATCACCCACAAAATTGGGTGGCAGAGAGTGGCAGATTGGCGTTGAAAATGTGTGTGGCAACTCAAATCAACTAACCAAATACACACATCACACGGTTTTTGTGCAAAAATCGGAGGCGGGCAACCAATTGAAATGCCATTTTATTCAGCTTAAATACAGAGAACCCTTGATTTTCCCCCTTAATGGAAATTCAAGTAGCCGGGATTTTCACATTTTCTGTTTCGAACAGGATGTACACACACAAGGGTATCATGGCATAATTTGATCAAAACTGCAGAAACTGAAAAACTGAAAATGATTCCTCAAAAAGTAACAAAATTGGGAAATGATTGAAGGTAAACTGGTGGAAACTGGTTTTTGGTTATCGCATTTCTGGTATTTTGTGTTCTGTTCGCAACATGCAACATTTGCTGCACAACCGCAAAATGCCAAAAAGGATATGCAATGCGGAAAAGCAGAGAGAGGGAATATCCTTTTGGAAATGAGCTGAAAACCCTTTGAAAACTGGAAGTGGAAAACAAAAGCTAAGCTTAATTAATATTCCCGTGTTTATGAGGGGTTTATAATTGTTTTACTTAAAACCCAACTAATTAGTTGGTACTTTAGGATCTCTTGATATATTTTTCAAGCTTTTCAGTCACCTCAGCGGACAAAAGAAAAGCGTGAAACGTTTTCCGGAAAGGATAATTGACGGAAGAATATGGATAGCGCGGGCTGAGATTTTGAGGGGGGTTTGGGGATTTTAAGGGGGGTAGTAGAGGAGGGGGGAAAGTCCTGTCAGTGGCATAGACAGGCTAATTAGCTCCAACACAAAGCCGCAACTTTGGTGTTGATTGCCAATTTACAAGCTTAATGAACTTGCGACTTGCTCGACTCGGAACTTTGGACCTGCGATTTGCGACTTGCGATTTGTTGCTTTGCCGCTTTCCACTTGCCACTTTCCACTTGCCACTTTGCCACTTTGTGCTGGCCAAGTTGCAGCAACTGGTGAATGTGAATGTGAATGTGGCTGTCCGCTATGCAAGTGCGCCTAACCGAATCTAATTTGCGTTTGTCAAGTGGTCGAGATGATCTAATAAAACCCACTCGCACTTCACTTCCGTTTGACAATTCAAAATACCAGCAGCAAAATACCAGCGGCTGTATGGCAAACGAATGAATCACAGCATTGACAAAGCATAAAAAAAGAAATAAAAAAAAGAAATACAAAACGAAATATAAACTCAAAGGAATAGAGCTGGCATTTATCCTGGCAACAGTTGAGGTTGCGGCCTGAACTCCTTTGCTATTGGCCAACATTCAGGATACCAAAAAGAAAAAAAAAAAAAAAAAAAAAAAACTCCAGTGGCATTTGAGTTATGGTGAAATTTCATTTCAACTTTTGCATAATTTTATGCTTATTATCGCCGGTCAGGAAAAGTGGGGGAAAAGCGGGGGAAAGTGGGGGGAAAGGGGAGGGGGAAAGTGGAGGGGCAGTCATTTCCAGCGAAGCGAAAAGTCCCTGGACAGTGGCTTTAATTACTTTGATGCATGATTTTGCTGCCATTTGCAATTTGTTGCCGAGGATAATGAGCAGGAAGAGCGGAGCTTGGCCCGGCTTTATTTAACCTGCCGCAGAGGCAAGGATTCACACATGAGCTGGCCGTAGGTAATACCCTTTGGGTTTCAGTGTGTGTGTGTGCTTGTGTTCGTGTGTGTGTGCCACATCTGCCACATGCGGTGGTCTATCTGGGAAATTTGAGTGCGCAGCGCGCAAAAAGCGCTTAAAATATTCACAGACCAAAAAGGGATAAAGCTATTAATTGTGTGTGCAACAGTCCTTCGCAGCCTCTGATATCATATTCCCCGTAATCTTCTCGAAAAGTTCGGATTTGCGATGGAAACCTATTCAGCGAACTGCGCTTATGCGTCGCCTTTAAAGTCAAATGTAAACATTTTAGGTTTATCCAATAGTTATTATGCAAAATATTTTCGTAATTATGTTTTTGAGGCATTTGTGGAAGAAAATTTAAAAGATTACAGTGATTTTAAGTGTTTGCTTGATTTAAAGTCTAAAGTACAAGTTAATACAACTTTGTAATTTATAAAAAAAATTATACTTCTGATTTTTGAAAATGTGTAGTTTTTGAAATATTGATTTATTTATTTTATTTTATTTGTTTACTTAAGGTTCATATATATGAAGTGTAAAAATGTTGAGCTTTGCAGACTTTATTCTAGCCTTTTAAATATTTATTAAGCTCGATTTGTGTTCGTTATACATTTTAATATCTGTCAATCAATATTCACCACAATTTCCAAACATATAAATTGTTTTGTGATTAGATTGAAAATGTGCGCTTAAAAAATTTGCCTATAGAGTTAAATACTTGAAGTAAATTGTTAGTGTCGTTTTACAATTAATGCCGGAGTCTTAATGAATTTTTAATTGTTTTCGCATGTGAAAATATAAATTTCAAATATGCATTGCAGAAGTTGCTTGAAGAGTTAAATACTTGAAGTAAAATCCAACAAAATATTTGTTGTGGGGTTTCGTGATAAAATGTGAATATTCACTATTATTGATAATTAAGATAATATGTAAATATCCATGACAAAAATTTTAATTTTGATTGCCTAAAGAGTTGAATGCTTGAAGTTTACATTCCAACGTATATTTTGTTGGTTTTTTTTTTACGCAAAGAATTAAACGCATAAAATGTGAATGCTGATTATTTAGAGCATACAACAGAATGTGACTCGTTTTAAAGCATTGTGTTCCTTTATCGCTCACTGAACTGTTTGGTCTGTTCTGGTTGCTCTCGTTCGCAGCAAGGACACTTCAGAGGACAGAGAAGCGAAGCAAGGACACCGGAGGGGGAGGAGAGGAGCGGAGGAGTCGGAGCGAGGAGCAGATTGTCCGGCGCAAGAAGACAGTCGGCAGCGAATTCCCCGCTGGCGAGCAATTGAGCAATTGTGCAAAATGGGTAAGTGACAAGCCGACGAGCCATTAATGGAGCACTCGACCGAACCAGGACCCCCTGAGCCTATCGCAAATCGCCCATTTCGCACCAGGTGTTGCAGCAACCTGTTCACCTGTTCAGATGTTCAGATGTTCACCTGTTCAATGGTTCAACTGTTCAAATTCCGTGCACCTCTGTAGGTGATAGAAACCATTTCAATTATACACTTATCAGCTTCAATTTTCGTGTCTAGTCGAATCAAGTCTGTCTGTCTTTTCTGCCTTAAAAATCTGCAAATTGCAAACAGCAAAAAGTTTGCACGCAGATTGCTTAACTTTGAGATGCCACTTTTTAGGGCTCAAAACCTTATTCCAGGAAATCACTATTTTTGAATGTTGTTGGTAAAAAAGATGGCCAAATACAACGCGTACTTATTAAATTGCCTACATTAAATGGTCTCAAGGCATCAAATCTATTGTGTGCAAAAAAAAATTGACTTTTCTTATTGTAAAAAATTTTATAGTGTTTTCAAATAAGTACGGTTCTTAGAAAAATTCCTAAGCCGATAAAAAATATTCTGCGATACTATATATATTTGTATTTTATATTTTAAGGGTTTTATTTTTCCTTGGATTTTAAGGAGATGATATCTATGTTTTGGTTTTTTGCTTTTCTAAAGAGTTCTTTTTTATAGAAAATGTTTTCATATATGTATTATATTTAAATTTTAGGTAAATTTAACTTTATTAATATGTGAGTGCCAACTAATAAATCAGTGCACTAGTTACATTATAAAAAATTAAATTTATATTTTACAAATTAATAACTGAAAGCAATGACATAATTCCTTTCTTTATCATTTTCTTTTCTCCACTATTGTTTTGCTTTTATATTTTTTTTTTGGTTGAAGGTTATATCAAGGTTTTTTTGTTAAAATGTAAATGTAATAAAGCTATCAGTAAATTAAAAATCCTTTTTTGTACTTCGTAGATGCGCTACGCTTCCGTGGTTCGCCATTTGCCCGCTTCACGGGTCAGTCGACCGGACCGGGTCACCCCCGTCCGCCGCCCCACCCCCAGAACCCCCAGAACCCGCAGAACCCCCAGCATCCACAGCATCCACAGCGGCCACAACCGATGGGATCCCACGGGATTGGCGCCCCGGAGCCACTGATTGTGGTGGAGGAGTCGAACCAGCCCGAGGAGCAGGAGGACAGCTCCGAGCCGACGGTCTCGAATCGCGGCAGTCTGGACATCGACTCGCCGGTGAATCCCTATCTGCTCTCCCCGTGGCGCGATCCTCGCGAGGCCAGGAAGCACTCGCTGCCGTCGCAACAGGTCACCGATGGCATCACCGCCAGCCAGGTGCGCCGTCTCTCCGAGCGAGGTGGCGAGGGCTCCGGCCCCACCCCCAAGGAGGCCGCCTTCCTGGCCACCCTGTCGCAGGCACCCGCCCCCACCGGACGCCGGCACTCGGTGGTGACCATCTCCAAGGTGCCCACCACCCTCTTCGGGCGATCGCGTCGCGAATCCGTCGCCGCCTATCCCAGCAGCAATGGGTAAGTGCTTCCAAATAAATATATAGTAACTCTTTTGATTAGTACTTGATGTTACAAATAATGTCGGGTTAAATTTGAATTAAGGATTTATAGGTAAAAGCAAACAAAATTCGGACAATAAAATTCAAATTTTCCTAGTTATGCAGTTTGTTTGAGAAATAAAATACAAACTTTTAAAGGCATGCCACTTTAAAAACTGATAAAATTAGAAAAGTAATGGACTTAGAATAAATGAATTTCGGTTAGAGAGTTAAAATCAAAAAGAATGCGAGATTTCCGGCGAAAGTATGATATTAAGAATATAATTTAAATTTCCTTTTAAAGGTTTTCCAATTTGAAATCTCTGATGATTAAATTCTTTAAAATGATTTCATTACGTACGTATTCAAAAATATGATTACTTAACATAGGGATATTATTGTGAATAGATACCAGAACTACAGATACTTTGTATTATTACTATTATTATTCACCAGACCTATTTGATATCGAGTTCTTCTTCGCTTCTTATCCTGATTTCCATGATAATCCCTTAACTTTATTAAGCGGTTTACTCGCTGTAATCAGCACCTTCGAAAGGAGTGCAACAGGATACTGCTGTGTTGTCTAAAAAATACAAAAAAAAAATGCACTCCTACTTGTCCGAGGGATTATAAACAGGCTGGCAAAGGGCTGTTGTTCCGCTGGAATTTAATTAGAGCGTTACCTTTGAGCAGATCTGGCTAGCACTTTTTCCTTTCTACTTTTCTGCTCCTCATAAGTTTCGCTCAACAAAGGAACGGACCTTTCTCCTCTCCTTTTTTCTGTGTGTGTGTGGGTGTTTTTGTTTTTTGTTTTTTGTTTTTTATTCAACCCACAACCATCACAACTGCCTGTTGCAGGAGCAGCCGTGTCTTGAACTCTCGACGCGAGAGCAACACGGGCCCCCGTCGACCGACCCCATTGGGAGCATCCACAACCTGCAGCTGGACATCATGGACGACATCTACTTGCAGTCGAGGAAGGCGCGCTTGAAGCTCTGGACGTCATCGAACGAGAAGGTCTGCGAGGTGCAAACGGTGGATGAGGTGGGCGCCGGTCAGCCGGGCAGGCGGTTCACCAACCGTCGCTACTCCGAGTGTCCCCAGCCGGGATTGGCTAGCTCCTTTCGTCGCGCCTCCGAGTTGCCTCCACAAACGCAGCAGCAGCAGTCGCAGCAGCAGCAGCAGAATCTGCAGCAGAGCTCAACTCGGGCATCAACGCGTCGCAAGAAATCGGGCAGCGGCACTGGTCTGCTGGGCAGTCGCTCGGATATCGCCGGTATATTCAGTTCGTTGACCAGCTCGGCCATGGATATGCATCGCTCGGAACCGGAGGGCAGGGACAACAGCTCCAGTGCCAGCTCATCGGCAACGGCGACCGCCGGCAGTCCGTTTCTCAGCCAGACATTTCAGGCCGCCGCTCGTGGGCGGGCCACGAGTGCCACGCCCACACCAACAACGGGCTACCAAGCGAGTGGTGGTGGTTTGAGTGGTGGTGCAGGTGCAGGTGGCTTGGCAGCCGGCAGCTCCACCAGCGGCGGACTGCTCGATCCGAATGCCGGGCGGTCGACGCGTTCGAATAGCTTCGATGTGTCCTTGCTGAACAATGCCAAGCAGCTGGTGAGCGATGTGCAGGACAATGGATCGGCAACGCTGACGGGCTGGTTCGCCAAGCGGCACACTCCGCTGGCGCGGAAGAAGAGTGTGCGGAGCAAGAGTTCGGCGGTGGCGCTATCCAAGGATGTGCTCGAGCGGCTGCAGAAGAAGGATCCACTGGGCGGCGATTCCGGCAAACCGAAGTTGAAGCCGCGCAGCAAGCAAAAGACCTGGGCGGAGTCCACCAAGGCAACGGTGGATGCCACAATTCTGGGCACGGCCATCGAGGGATTTCTGCGGAAGAGCTCGAATGCCAGTATGTCGGGAGCGGGACTGGGTTCGGGTGGCGCCTCCACGTCGGCGGCTGCACGGGGTGCCGCCTCCAAAAGTGGCAAGGATTCGGGCGGCAGCGGCGGCAGCGCCAGTGGAAGTCCCGCTCACGGCAATCGACGCAATCGCAGCTCCGCCGGCAGTTCGGCCCAGTCGCAGGCGGGACGGGCGGTCCGCTCGACGCTCAACTGGTTCGGCAAGGCCGACGAGGACGATTCGAAGGACACGTGCGACGCCTCGCTCTGCGCCACGCTGAAGGACCTCTTCGTCAAATAGGTCGGGGGCCGCAGGGGCAAGTAAAGCGGCGGGGAAGGTCCCGCCAACAGCAGCACAACGGTGAGTTTTTTATCAAAAGACATTTCTTGGAAGCTTTATACTATACTTATAAAGTGGCAAACCGATTTTTTTAAATAGGAAGTGCAAATTTACATTACAAATTCTGATAAACATTGTGGTATCAATATCAAAACAAGAGAGTGGCAATAACTTTATTTAACGAAATTGCCCAAAAAGTGATTTAATTTAATATTAATTTACAAATCAATATGATAGAATATTTACGGTACAATTTTTGTGTGTGTCATTTGTATTGAATTTTGAACTTGTAACCCAAATAATTTAGCAATTAAATATTTTTTTAAATTGCCTAAAAGTTGCCTAAAGTTTTAAAATAATGATTATATTGTTAATTCCGAACTTAAATTGGCAATGCTTTATCTCACACACTTCCTAATTGGCTTAATACTTTAAGCCTTTCAAACTTAAAGCTTAACATGCTTATATGTGGTCTTCTGTGTAATTTTAGCCAGCTACTTGCACCTCTGAGATCCAGAAATCCTTATCGAATTCCAAAATCAATGCGAACGAAGTTGGAGGCTTACACAATGCAGTGAACAATAAGCGCAGCAGAAATCACCATTGAAATCACAATCACATGAACATAATGAACAAGCCGGCGGCTCAATGACAGATTAAAAGCACAGTTTGGCTCTCTGTTTCGAGGAAGCGAAGATGCAGATAATATTTGAAAATCAAAATCAATCATAATCACAACACAGCACTCACATGACTCACAAAACAATATAATAATTGACAGCAGAGGCTTCACCAATCATGAACATAAATTCAAACACTGAGAACATTGCATAAAAAAGGTCGGCAGTGAAAGTTGATCAGACGGTAACTGAATGAGAAATTAGAACTGCGAAGTAAACCGTATACCTAAAATCGAAACAATAATAACAGAACCGATGCTATCGATACCTGACAGAAAAGCCCGATTAATATATTTGATACTTACAGAAATAACGAATAAGAAAAGCCAGTAAACGAAGGATCAAATGGAGAAATAAGTACTAAACACAAAATACAGTGACCTACTGTACCTGAAAAAGGTAACCGAATAATACACAAATACATCCAATAAACGGTAAACATAATACCGATTAACACTAGAATCCGATCGACGGCGATTAATAATAATAGTACAAGAGAGCAACTTTTAAACGGTACAAGTAACTTTATGGATAACGGTAAATGGTAAGTGCAAAGGCGAATGCGCAAGCGAAACGATAAGCGATAAACAGTGATCGATAGGCAGATAGTTAAGCGATAGACGATAGAGATTAAGGCAACGCTGCAGGGGAGTCAATCAGGAGAATCAGGAATCGAGTATTCAGGAACGAGACAAAAAGCTCACCCCATCCAACCTCCACCCAAAAAGGCATTGTACCTCATGTATAACTAATATTGATACAGATTTAATAATACCAAATATATATATATATATATATTCTCATACATTTGCATAACATTTGTAGTCAAAGAAAATGAAGAGCGGAGAATCGAGAAGAATTGGGTTAAATACGAAGGGCAGAGAATATATTAATACGAATATTTTTCTACGTGCAGAGCAATTTAAGCGGGTTTCAGCGGCTGAGTAAATCCCGGATGGAAGGAGATTATTGAGGATTTTTTGAAGCATTGCCGGTTTGGGGCAATACCAACTAACGATATATAATATATATATTATGTATGGTTGGTTATTTTTTTTTTGTGGTGCCCATTGCAGTTGGCATATCGAAGATGAAGGTTGAGGAGTATGAACACGAATACACAGACATATGAAAAGGCAGCCGTGGCATATACATACATACACACAAATCGGTCTTTATAATTATCGAGTCACCAACAATCGGGTGAATCAGTGCGAAAGATGATGCTCCAACGGTTGCCACAACCATATCACAATAAATACACACACACACACACAATGAAATCAGCACGGCAGCGTGCATATAAACACGTTACAATATACGAATATATATATCTATATATACACATATATATCTACGGAGAATAAGAAGTAAATGTCTACAGACTCAAGAGTTTTAATCAATGTAAACCACACAATAAATGTAATTTGTATGTACAATCTGAGCTTACTCGAGGCAAAAATCATCGCAAATCACAAACAAATAACACACTAAATCGAGTCGAACCAAATCGAATTGAATCGAATCGAATCGAATCGAATCGAATTGAATTGAAAATCGAATATAAATTAATGTTCGCGTTGAATATTTAATGTTAAACGTAAAATAATACGCAGGCAGAAGCTCAAAAGTAGCTGACTGTTGGGGAAAAGTGAGGAGCCTGGGGAAGTTTTCCCCAGGAAGAAGTTTGAAAATCAATTAACGAAGAAATTCAAATTGGAAATTCGCAATTGCAGAAATTGGCAAACAGTGGGGGCTATAGAAAAACATTGAGAGATAGCAAAAAAAAAAACCAGAGAGAGAGAAAGAGAAAGTTGAGAAAGTAGGAAGAAACAAACAAACAAACACAGAAGCAAACAATCAGTCAATATTGCAATCAATCAAGTGTGTTTCTATGGGCGGCATTTGGCTCTGTCAATTTGTCAATTTCGATCAAAGGCAACCAAATGGCGTTGATGATGGGCAATATGGCCTGCGGCAAGGATTTATCGCAAGGAGGAGTATGAGAAGGATTAGATAGCGGATTGCAAATGCAGTGTGTGTTTGGTGTGTGGGAATATACACACACACACACTCGTACAATAACCATACGCGTATGTTTAATGAATTATCCATCTAACAATCTAACAATTGTATCTCAATGTGCCCGACAAACAAATGTGTTTTAGACTTCGATTTCCATGTGCGTGTCTCAAGGAGGTAACCCAAAGTTAACTTTCACTTTCAGTGTGTTATAGTGCTGCAGCGCGGCAGATCTACATATATATCTATACATATACATATACAAGCATATATGAATATACACAATATCTACACATGAGAAACAAAACTAAATTAAAAATTAAAAACATTTATATATATATCTATATATATATATATATTAAAACTATTTACAAGTGCGATCCTTCTTGGTCGCAGCGAACTAAAGTTGTCCACGTTTTGCTCATCCTCCTAACTGTTGTTCTATATATATATATCGTTGCTATAACCGATCTAAACTATGTAACAATAAATGTGTACAAAATGAAGGGGAATCCAAGGAGGAAATAGCGAGGGGAAATGGGGAAAGTCGGAGTCTAGGATCTGGTACTATCTACTAATCCAAATAGATCCCTTCGCAGAAGGTCAAAGCAACTCTCAAGTTCTATTTGTCCTATTTTTGATAGTTGTATATATATATATACCACGAACGTACATGCATATATACCGCATATATACACACACCAAAAAACACTACTAAATGAACGCAATTTTTTTCGATTGATTTAGCATTGAATGTGCAGTTAGATTTATGAATACCAAACATATTCGTATATATGTGTGTGTGTGTACCTCTAAGGATAATAATGCCTCCAAGGATAATACCGAAGCTCCGGCGATAATCGGCGGCGGGACAAGGAACAACGGGCAATGCCGCAATTTGTGGCAGGCACTTCCAATGTTCCGCCGCCGATTGTCTCCCTTTGGGGGCGTTTCATTGTCATTTGTTGTTGACGTTGTTGATGTCGTGCAATTGTAATTACCGTTGTTCAATTGTTGTTAATGTTTATCCACATGTCTGTTTTTTGTGTGTGCGTTAAGACCTAAGACTACTTAACAATCGGTTACCACCGACTAAAAAAATACTTTAGTAGTGTTAACACGGCGCCCCACGTTGCAACTTAACCCTTTTTAGAGTGCGGCACCTGGGGAACCTTAAATTCGAGCGGCTTTTCATTTGATTTGATTGGGGTGAATGATTTGATTTCTAGGGCTTTGGTGGGCTAACCAAAAAAGAAAAATGGAGGGGGGAAAAGTGGGCAAAACTACGCATAATCTAGTGAGTTAAGCGATGGTCGAGAGTGGCACGTAATATCCGACATGCATATATAACTAGGCTATATATCTGTGTAAATAACGGAGGAAGGAATCCGGGGGAAAGGACACTTTTTGGGAATACGTTTGTACATAGTTATGCGTATGCTAGCAGGGGAAATTAGCAGAAAGGTAGTGTGTTTTTTTTTAAAAGCCAAAATCCAAATGCAACCGAATGTAAAACAATCAATTGATGACACATAATGTAAACGAAAAACAAACAAAAAAATGATTAACGATAAACGAAAGCTAAAAACAATACAATTAACTAAACTGCAAGTGGCGATGTAAGGAGTACTTAAATAGGTTTATATGTGTATGCTCCTCGAGAGAAGTGGCCCAAACCTTCCACCATCCGAGATAATTTGAGAATCCATGAATCCAACAATCCATGAATCCATGAATCCCGTGGAGAGTGGAACTGGAATGCGAAGGAGGAGGATGGAGGATGGAGGATGGAGGATGTGCACCAGGCGAGAGTACTTTACCACACATACAATACCCAATATACAGCTAAATATACACCCATATACATCTATATATACATATGGAATATACATATATACGGAAATAAATAGTTTATGTGTACAGATTGCCGACGCATTCATTTCTGGAGTCTGGCTGGGGGTTTTCAGCTCCACCGATGATTGATGGCCAGCGGGGCATGGCGGAAATCTGCCATGTGCAACCACCTAGCGGACCACCTTTCCACCTTGCCACCGAACCACCTTGCCACCGAACCACCTTGCCACCGAACCACCTTGCCACAGCGATTCCTGGCCAGCGGCAGTCAGTCATAAATCAAACATCCATTCTGCCTCCAAGTATGCAACGCAACGCGAATTCGGCAGGATGGCTATCCACATTGGCCAGGTTGCCAGCGAGAAAGGGGCAAGGAGAAAGGCGAGCAAAGAGAAAGGGGCAAGGGGAAAGGCGAAAGGAGTAAGAGGAGGGGAGAGGGAAGCAACAGGACAAAGGGAGGAAACGACCGGCAAGAGGCATTAAATGTTAATGCGCTTTATGCAACGCTTGACTGGCCAAACAGCCAGCGGTGCCCACACCAGCGTCGGGCTTTCGAGGAGCCACAGGATAATCGAACATCTAAATACCCTGTTAGTGCTCATCAATTTTCCGCACTGCAAAATCTCCTAATCAGGCTTCAGGTGATTTTATTTTCTATGCCTTTCAATGCGTTTGCATAAATTCTCTAATAAGTTTAATGAATACAATGGCGGATAGAATTTTACAAATTGATTTTATTAGCGATTTAAATGTAATGAAATAATTAAAAGCTGTATACATTTTCATTTTTCACACAGTGGGCACATTATTTTTTCTAATTTTTTAATGCAAAACATTTAATAAAAAAATAAATAGCAAAAATCATACTAGCTTATATTCACTCAAAAAAGTTTATCAGCAGACATTGCTTATTATTGCTTTTTATTATATTATTTGAAGCTCTACTTTTCAAATGTGGCTCTTCGGCCTTTACTATTTGACAGGCCTTGTGGGAGGGTGTCCTTTGAGGTGTGCTCGCTGGACTGCGGTGGGTGTAGGCTGTTGGCTGTTGGAGGGTGGTGGCTTTGAGCTGCAGAGCCTGCTGCTGCCAACGCCGACCACATGTCAAGCGTGAAATTCGAAAGCTGCAGTGCGATTGAGGCGCACGGCGAAAAGTGGCAAACAGGATGGCTAACCGGGCAACGCAACAAAGGAGCGGCCACAACTGTTGCCGGCTAATCAGCTTCCAGGTTCGGCGGCCATTGTCATCGCATTGTTGTTGCCAAGGGGACGGCGTGCAATTACGCTCTTGGGCCAAATCATATTGGCCTAATTACGCCGGATGTTATCTAGCCTATTATTCATTTGAAAGCTTCTTAGCCATCCACTTTGAGCCATTGTCTGTGGAGTTCTTTATTGTTGGTTTATTTTCTATTAGAAAACATTTTATGTCTTGTTTTTGGGTAAAAGTGATTGAGTTTATATCGTTTTTTTTTTTATTGGCAACACGCTTGTATAGTACACAAATCCAGGCCTCGAACCCTGAGCTTTGTACTCAGTCGCCAAACCATTGGCTTAGTTGAGACACACACCTGCTTACAGTCGTGTCCCCAAAAGTGGGTTAACTGTACAGCTAATTGAACTAAATTCTTTTTGATAAACACGCTCATTCTCGGCTAAGAACATTTACTAGATAATTAACACAGATCAAAGCCCTTTCAGGGTTTTTAACTCTTTTGGTACCTTATAACAGATATTGTTAATTATTATAGATTTGAAACAGTCATGTGTTCCGTGAGAACTTTGTAAACAATAGAAGGTGAGTTTTTGGGGCTACGTGGGTTGGGTCGGCAGTGCAGTTGCGTTTACATTAGTCAAATAAACCGCAGTTGCTCTGCTTCGAACATTTTTTCCTTTTCAGCACCTCCGGCTGTCGATTCTGTGCGGCTTCGTCTCAGTTTAATTTCATCATTCGACCTCACCGGTTCTGTTTCCTCCGAGTTGTGTCTTTTTTTTGTTTGTTTTTTGCAGCCCAATTAAGCCCTTGTGTGGAGCCAAAAGTGTGTTTCTTTATTTCAAATCCAACACTAGTTCGGGGATTTTTCGTGAATTTCTCGCGGCCCGTAATTAACGTGGGCTTACCTGTTGTCCGCCGGCAAAAGCATTAATAGCATTTATAGCGTGACAACGACGAAGCAGCTGTCTGCCATCCAAACGGTGAGTAAACAATACGGATGGCTTCCCATCCTCTCCCAAACCATCCGCATATCGCCAGTCGTCATTAAAACATGTGTGTTGGCCAACGAGAGGAAGAGAGTTTGTGTAGGCAGCAAACATCGGAGAGAAAGGGGCATTCTCACTTCGTTCTGTCAGCCAAACAGATTTTCATTGCATTCGATTGCTTTTATGTTTTACCCAAACAGTGAACCACTTCTCCAGATTATTTACATTGCAAAGAAAGAAAAAAAAAACAAAGTCAATATTGAAAAAGAAAAACGTAGTCCACTGGAAAATACATTTTAATAAATTCCACAAAAAATATACCAAACCAACAAACAAATATTCCTTATACTTAAAATAATTGCAACATCAAATTTTAAAAACATAGTCATCTTGAAAAAAATTAGTTACTTCTACAAAAAAAAAAGGCGAAAATCGATTCTTATCCTTTATTCTTTAAATAATTACAACACCAAATTTAATATAAGTGGCTGTGAATTAGTGTTAGTGAATTGAGCGAGGTTTGACTGTAAAATTAAAAAGTAAATATCAACTCCACCTTAAAAATGTTTCATACATTTTGGATCAATCTATACTCGTATAAAACCTCGAAGGTGATTTTCGAGTAGATTGTATAGCTAAGTGTAAGCAAATATTAATTTCCAGACCCCAAAAATATTTTCCACAGATTACTAGCACATTAGTCATCGTTAGAATCAATTGTTTTGTAACTTAATATAAAATCCAAGGCGAAGTAAACGTTTTTCGGAATGACTCAGGCATTCCATTTCATTCTGGGTCCCACAAATAAGTCAAGCTAACAGAAGAATTTTGGGGGGCGGAGGAGCGAAGCAGACGGTCAAGTGAAATGGCTGAAAGGTCTAAAATAACTACCTGATTGATCGGATTACTCACAAAGGACGCGACTGTTACAGGAGACGCTCAAAAGCCGGCTACAAATAAGTTTCCAGCTTTTGTGAAAGCTTTTCTGCCACAGCTTTTCCTGTTTACAGTTGCCTACTTTTTGGGGTAGATTATGAGTGGAGGGAAACTCAAACTCTGCCCATTTTTCAGTTTTTTGTGACCTTCAAAATATTGATATTTCTTTTTTATTTCTTTTCTTGTAGCTACATCGGTGGGATTTTCCTTCAATCAATACGCGCGAATTAACTGAGGTGAGTTGTAAGATATGTTGTATGTTTAGTTGTTAACGCTACGTATACGTGATATAGTTACGTATACGTCATGTTAGGGTAACCAGGCAAGCAGGTAAGCTGAGTTAAGTTAACAAGGTACCAGGAACCCGGTTCAGGGAACCCCAGTGCGTCACAGATCGCACCTCGAATGACTTGTGGAAGAGGGCCGATGCCAAAAATAGCCAATTCTCTCACCTGTCCGAGCCCCTTGTTTAGTTTTTGGCCCGAACGGGCGACCCAAGTGCTTCCCACCATCGCTCCATTCACAATATAATGCGCTGGGCAAACAAATGAGTGTGCCTCGCGATCCACCATTTGAGTTCGCGTCAAACTGAATCTCAATCTGAATTTGAATCTGAATCTGAGATGCGAATAACGATTCCGATTTGGATTCGGGATCCGGACTGAATGGGGAGATGACGCGTCAATCCGGAGAGCCGGAGCTCTGGAAAGCCAGAGAGTGCTTCACTAGCTTCTAAACACTTGGGCAAATACGGAGCAGCGTTTCGCCGCTCGGTGATTTACCCAAACCATAATCAGGTTGCTAGCCAGTCGGCCGGCCACTCAGTTCGTGTCTGTGGTCAGTTTCGGCCCACTCCCAAACGACCAAACGATCAAACGACCAAACGACAGGTGACGACAATTCAATTCGCGGCAGGCAAATAATTTAAGTGGTCGAGAGCCGGGAATTTCCTCACATTGATTCTGGATTCTAAATTCCGTGCACTTACGTACTTGTTTGCTTCAGTCGGTCAAGGGTGGAGCGGCTCAGATCGGATAAGATCGGACCAATACTAAAAGGAGTTAGTCTTAATCGCTCTGATTCACTCGCATGCAGCTGAGGTGGCGAACTTTGCACCAGAATTCCAACATTTATCAATGCGCTTCCGATGAAAAATTGGTTCTAGGTATTGTTTATATGTTAGGGAAATTACTTGGTATAAAATATATTATGTATTAACCTGCTGAACTGCATTCCTTTCAACCTTAAACGGCGTACCTTTCAAATTTATTTCATATTTCATTTTTAGTTTCTGGCCTTTTTAGAAAGCGATTTGAAATCAATTGAAAAAAATGCGTTTAAAGTGGTTTGAAATGTGAACAATTTCTTATTATGTAAATATGGAAAATAAATGTACCACTGATCCAGTTCTATGAAAACTAAAGATATAATCTTTTAGGAATTTCTCATTATTATTATTATTAATGCAAAAGATGTTAATATTTGAGTAATAATAGGAAATAAGTAGAACATCACAGGAGTCTTTGGGTTTCCGCTTTCTTGTTTGCCAACGGAAGTAATACCCCTGGGCAACCACAGCTTCAACCGATTTATTTATGGGCATTTCTCAGAGTCGCGGGAACAAAAATAGAAGCCGATAGCAATTCGACCCAGTCACCTCCGCTCGCGTGGAAACAAGAAACGAGATCGCCTCAAACTAGCTTATAAATACATTATTATGTTTGCTAAAGTTAGCAACGCAGTGAGGATCAGCAGCCTGGACTTTGCCACCGGCGGTTCTTTGTCGCGATAAAGTCATGTTGCGTCGATGTTTGCGTCGTTTGTAAATAATTGCCATTGAGCAGGATGCACGTCACTCTGGCAAAAGTAACCGCCACCACTACCTTTAAGTGGAAAAAGAGAAAAACCCACGAATATCTAAAACCGCTCCAGTTTCACGAAAAATATATTCTGGGGCTGCCCGGCAATTAATTACGATAATTTACCCAGCTATTAAATTTGAACATATTCGAGTTGGTTGGGATTTTTCATTGCTGATCCCAGAGGATCCATTATAAGTGTTCATTCGCAGTCGAAGTACGCAAAAGTAAGTGCGACTCGAGTCCCAGGGTAAATGAGTAACCCGACTTGGCCAACTTGGCAAACTCGGCAAAAAGATTGTGTTTGAATGAGCGGCATAGAAGAGACACTATGTCTATCTATTTTTTTGTTTTTTTTTTTCTTCTGTATGTGTGAAACGTCTCTTATACTTTTTGTTGGGCCGGCTGAAGTCCATTTGGCCAAGTCGCTTCCATTCAGTTTTCAAAGGCACGCTCGTGCCGCAGATCGATCGGAAATGCCAACGGAACGACGCGTCATTCCGCAGGCAAGTGCCACTCGCCTCGAAAATATAAAAACAAAAGCCAATTGCGGTAATTATGCAAAGTCCGCAAGCAAAGCAGCGGGCCAACTCGCGGTATTACCAAAAGCCTCGAAGTAAAAGCGATCTGATCTGATTTTGATTTGAAAATATAAAAGAGATTAAATTCTTTTTGAAGCTCATCAGTGAATTTTGAAACCAGTTTTATTATTATTATGTTAGCGACTGCAGCTTTCCCTAGTAATATTCTAAAAACCAAGCAATCTTAGGCTTTTCTTCTATGCTTAGCTTATATTATTTCAAGCAAAAGTAAATATGTTTTACCGCAAACTCCTAGAATTCCAATTGAGTATATCATGTGCATAACATATAATATTAAATAAATAACTAAATTAATTAACTAATCACTCAAGTCACAAAACCAATAAAACTGGGGGAAAAGTTTTGGGTTTTTACGTGCTTTCATGCTGATCTTAAGATGCGATTATTTAAAAACCCGCTGTGAAATCCCTTACTCTCAATGGAATTTCTAACTATTCAACAAAGAGTTAGAAGTGCAGCTCTGAAACCAAATAAACCCATTTGATCGGTGTAGGGTGCAGGAATTCAATGTGACATCCGTTTTGGGCCAAGAAGCGTGTGGGCATAAATTACTTCAGTTGGCCGAAGGGGCCAACTCACTTTCTGCAAGACAGGAAGAAAACAATGTGCCACAGCCGACTAAAGCTATTTGCAACATAGAACAGCGATCCTAAGCCTAAGTCTGAGTCTGACTCAGAGTGGAAATAATATTGTAATTTCTCTGCTTGATATGAATTTATTGAATACTTTTTAATTAAATTTGCTGTTGGTTTTGTTGTTGCTGCTCATTAATGAAGTTAGCACGCGTCAAAATGCTCCACTGCCATTGGCTCTCTGTAATCATTGTCGTCATCAAGCCGATCGCAGATGCTGCTTTCAATATACTTCTTTAGGTTTTTTTTGCACTTGCTATAATGTGTGTGTATGTTTCTGAGTGTGTGTGTGTGAATACACTTTAACTCGCATCGCACTCGCGCCTGAGTAGCGAGTACTTACTGTGGCGTGTGTGTGTGTGTGCGTATGAAAAAGTAAGCTCGGCCACGCGCTGCGCCGCTCGTCGTGCGACTTCGGCTGCTGATAGCGCCGGATGGTGCGGTCCCGTCCGTATTTAAAAGCCCGCCATGTGCCCCAACTCCTCATTAACCGTAAGATCTCGCAGAGCCCACACGCCACCTCTCTCGCATCCGCGATCGATTCTCAACTCACGATCTTTGAATAAACAACAGCCTAAACTCAAAACATAGCTTAGCTTAAAAAATAAAATCCAAGCGAAACCGAAACCAAAAAAATAAACGCCACAAAATGTCCGCGAACACAAGTGCCAGCATGCAACCCAGCTCCTTGGAGCGCCTGCAACAGAGTCCTGCCGCAGATCCCTGCTCCGCTCAGCCCGCCAGCGAGTCCCGCCAGCGAATCTGCTCCTCGAGTCGATTGTGTAAGTGTGCGCCTGCCGTGTGAATCACGTCCGCCATAAAGCCGATCTATATCTGCACCTCTGCCGGATATCTCCGTGCCTCCATAAACTGTGTCACCGGTTCGCAAACACGAAGCCGCAGAAAAAGAGAGAAAAGTATTCGCCTCTCGCTCAAACGAAGTGCAAATCAATAGGCAGAACAAAAAGATTTTTGAAAAAAAGTGAGAAAAACCAGAGCTTGGTTAAAGTTAGTGAGAGATCTTTTTTAAAAACTTTTTGGGAAAGTTTTTTAACATCATCAAAGTTTACAGTTCAAATTTGATTTCTAAAATTATTTAATACTCAGCCTGGTTAAACATTTTTAGGCTTACATGAATTTATTATATATTATTATTGCACATAAGTGCAACCTTTTTTATGCCTTATTTTATTTACGAAATTTTCGCCCATTTCGATACTCATCTTCCATTTTGTATGTTGTCCTTGCAGCTCCCGCCAAGTGCTGGCTCCTCGGCGTCCTGCTGCTGCTCACAATCGCCGCCAGCTGGCCAACGGGGTCACAGGCTGCTCCGCGAAAGGCGCGTGGCCTGCACCTGATTCTGCCGCACCACAGTCACAACCACAACCAGCGCCACCACCACCAGAACGCGAGATCAGCGCCGCGGGAGCACACGAAAAAGGGAAGCGGCGGAAGCAGCGTGCCCGATAATCGCACCCGCCTGATAACGGAGAAGGTGGAGGGCAGGATCAGCTGCTTGAGTATGAGCGACAAGGGAACCAGGAAGCTGGAGGACCTCAACATGGCCCGCAACGTGACCAGGAACACCAAGAAGGCGGTCATCTGTCTGACCAGTGAATTTGTAAGTTTAAAACAAGGCTTACACACTAATAAACAGAAGTGCTAATTATAAATTCTTAATTCTTAATTAACAGTTGGCGAAGTCGGATGACCTGAATTTGGCGCAGGCCATTCGCAAGTACCGCTTCCAGAAGCTGGAGCTGCAGCATCCGCTGGAGGAGGAGGTGAAGCGCGTTCGCTACGACGAGGACACCGATGAGTTCTCCTTTGTGGGACCGCTCGCCGACTCCTCGGCGGGTGTCAACGGCATCGTGGAGAGCCTGATGATCCTGAAGAATCTGTTCAAGGCCATCACGTTCAAGAACGAGCACTGGAACTGCTACTTCCGGCACTTCCTCGACTTCCTCGATCACAATGTCCACGAGGCGATGAACGTGACCGGCGAGGCGGAGGTCTGCAATCCGGGCGATGCCAAGTACAATGTCACCGGGTTCCTGCCCATTTCCGCCGCCTTGGAGACCATTCGAGTGCTGACCGTTGTGGAGTACGTGTACGATCAGCTGATCGACGCCTTAAACTAAAAAGGGGATCCTTTGGATTCAAAGCAACAAGCCATACCAAAAATAATCGCCTCCGATGACCCACTGCAATCTCAAGCTGCTATGCATTCGTATTTGGCGGTTTATCTGCCACCAAACAGCCTCATCTGCCCTAGACCCTATTATTTATACGACACTATTTATTATAACTTATTTGCCACCACCCACCACCCCACACACACAACCCCAAAACTCCATTCGTATTTATATCGCTTTCACATCCTATTTATATACATACAAGCCATACTCACTGAACGCATTCACCGCCTCGCAGGCTCGATAACTTATGAAAACTATTGCCTAAGTGTATTTTTTGTACTATTATATTATGACTATTAATAAATTATACTGAATTTGCGCAAACGCAAAAGGGTTTCCATTCACAAAGGGCAGACTTAAATGACCAAAAACGATTTGAGCCAATATTTCCTTAGTGAGTGTTGCTTGGTCAAACATGGACTGTTGATTCTGTTCAACATCATCGGAATCGAAAGCAGTTAAAATGTTCACAGTTACATAGAATTCGCTTGAGTAAGCCATCGGAATTTTTAACACCCATCAGTGGTCATAAAACATGGCTAATTGGACATTGGATTATTTTAGCAAAGGCATGCAATGAGTTTGGTGCTTAGTTTTTCATGCTAAAAGTGACAGTGACGTATTTTTATTTAAAACAATGATGTAATGTGTTTTGGAGCATTTTTAATGGATAGGTGTTTAAGAAAGTCACACATGAAAGTGCAAAGAATTTATGTTAGTAATTCATGACATTCAATGTTTTAAAATTGAATTTTAATTTATGAAATTGGGTACATATTGAAATATTTGTAATAATAATGGTACATAATTAGTACTTTAACTTGTATTCGAAATTCTTTGATTTCTTGAGCTCTAAAATTGTATAAAGTTTTATGTTTTTATTTTTTATTTTTTGAAATTTTTGTTTTGGGCTTATTTTTCTTAATTTCAATATTTGCATTCTTACATTTTGCATAATCATTAAAAGTGTAAGTGCTTAAACTTTTTTTTTAAATTGCTAACTATGTATTTATCTACGAATTGATCTTAAAATTTGGGAAATTCGACTTTTGTTTCCAGTTAAAAACCGTTTGTTTGGGGCATTATATGATTATGCATCATGCTTTAGCGGTTTTCCCCGATGTCTAAAGGCCTAAACCCTACCACCACTCCCCCATCGGAATTTCTGGCTCGGTGTGTATTCCATTTTTGGACCGACTCGTCACCTGCCGCCACCCACCCCTACCCCCAATGTCGTGAATACGGTTAGTACTGTAATCATTGTCATCGCGATCAGTGGCCAGGTTTATAGCTCGTGCTCGGGGCACGTTCCGCTAGATATCCGAGGTTTTTCACTCGCTCTTCGCGGATATCGAGAAAACCCCAGTCCCCGCGGTCTAGTGACTCATGGACCATTAAACAAAATGTCGAGCAATCTTCGCGTGATCTCTGCGTGTGGCTTTCTTTCAATAAGTGCGAGTATATAGATACTCTGCTCGTTTTTTTCTTATTTTTTTTTTTGGGACTTGCAGGGTATTGTGTTGCCTTCGAGGAGGGACTAAGTTTACCGTTGCCACTTCGCAGGCTTCTCTGTTTGGTTGTTGATTTTGGGTTTTTTCTCTTCGATTTTCAGGTGGGGGATCGAATGACCTTCGCTTCTGGGGCGCGATCAAAGATGGAGGTGCGGCGGGCGTTGGATGGGTGCACAGTTCGCGTGGCAATGGCGTCAGTCCGCCGTAGCTGTAAATTCCCAGCGAGCAGTGGCGCATTGAGTCAGCGGCAAAAAACGCAGCGGCAGCAGCAGCAGCAGCAGCACCAACATCGGCAGCAGTGGCAGTGGCAGCAGCAGCGACAGCGGCAGAGGCAGCAAGTCAGCTGCAGCCGACTTTATGAATGAAAGTCCACTCGGTTCTGTTCGAGAATACCTGTTACCTTGCTCTCTCCGCTTTTACTCTCATTTCAAAGGCAACCTGTTGCCGGTGCTCTCGCATTTGAGTCAAAGCCTACGTCGCTCTCTGGAGCCCTCTTTTCCCACTCTCTTTGCCTCTCTTGGAGCGTCTTGGCGACACGGCCATTGGTCAAAACGCTTCGTAACCGCTCGTCTTCGGCGTGGCGCTCAGCGGGTGGCGGACCAATCAGCGGCGCGCCCCTGTCACACACAGACACCCACACCGATGGGAATACAAGCCAGCTGGCACCCACACACGCGTCGAGCGCGGGGGCTCTGCGCCACGCCCCTCCAGCTCCCCCTTGACCCACTTGCGGTTCAAATTTCATTTTATTGTTTCACCACAATGAAATGTAAACGTGTAAGTTAATTAGGATTTTAATGAAGTTTAATACATATTAAATAGCAAACAAATTCGGTTCGTGGTCACAAAAATGAAATTATGCTTTAAAATGTTGTTGCAGCAAATTTAAATTTTTATTAAACCCCAACCGCAAACTGTATTCGCACAATCTCGCTGTTTAATTAGATTTCATTATACTATAAATTGTCCTCCCATATCATGTGCCAAGTGTAATGGAAATTTATTTAAACAACAATATTCACTAAAAAATGTTGAAATGTTGAACCATATAATTTCATTGAAATACTTTAATGACCCAAAGTCAATTGAAATCGAAATTCAACACAATCGAAATGAAAACAAAATTAATTATCTATATTTTTATTAGATTATAAACTCAATTATTATATGCTTAAAAACAAGGGAATGGAGCCCTAGTCTGTCATACCAAAAATAAACAAAAATGTTATAAGTCTTTGTTTTTGGCCAATAAATAGGAATACATATAAAGCTACTAGCCACAGAGAATGTCATACCTCACTGAATTCTTTAAAAATTATCTATCGTTGCGCATTTAAGCCTGGAAGCGTTTTCAGTAAACCCTTTTGCAAATATAACGATGCAAAATATGATGAACAAGTTATTTAGTGAAACTAGATAAGAAACAAGATAGGAACGCATTGGAAAAAAAATACCACAGAACAGTTTTTCTTTGGCCAAAATAAAGTTTAAAGACTTTATGAAAATGGAATTCAACCGAAAGCCTATAAAAGGTTATTAATATTGATAGTTACTCATTATGAGAGGTGCCTCATGAGATTAGGAAAAAGAACAGTTAAGATTAAAGGTACATGGTTTTATAAAAATCTTTAAGAGTATAAATTTTCACACCCCAATGTGTAAGAAGAACAAACATACAAAATATCTAATAGTGCTTGCATTATCTTTTGTGTACGTGCAATTGAGTTACCTAGTCATCCTTGATTAGGCCATGACAGGATACCAATTGAAGCGGCAAATGAAGTTCAAAGGGCTAAGCAGCCGGTTTCCTCAATCGATGCCTTCCGTGCGAGATAAAGGCCATAACGAATGTCAATTGCAACGGCAATTGAGACATCAAAATGAGCGTCGGAAATTATACAAACAAACAAACAGACAGACAAACAAGCAAATCGACTAACTAACCGTTTAAGTTACCGTTTCGGATGTGAGAATTACGTTTGGAGATCCTGATAAAGCGGCCGATTTTACGCATAATCAAAAAACATCAAAACAACTGGGAACCGGGAAACGAGGAACTCACACCTCCGGAAAACTGCACACCGTTGCACACCCACGAAAACAGGAGGTCCTTGTAGGTAGGCAGGCAGAGCGAAACGGAGGTCCTGCGAAAAGGGACGGGAGCTGAGCAGCGTGTAATGACGTAGGATGGTCCACCTTTCGGCCAAGCCATTTGTATCTCTATCCATCCGATGCGATCCGTGTATTTGTATCTGTTGGTTAACCTTCCTTCTCGAGGTCGAGGTGTGTTTCGTTCGCTGCGGCAATTAAAGCGTATCCTTAGGCATTCGATACGCCGCTAAAAAATTACACCATGACAGGACACAATGCATTCAGACGGCCCGATGGACCGAAGGACCTCACAGGACAGCTCAATTTTGTAGCAAAATATTTTTGTTGTCCAGAACGAATTGCAAGTAAAACAGAAAGTCGAAGGAGCGAGGGGGCGGGGGCAACGAGCGAGTGGAGGAGAGGAGAGGGGGGGAGGGGGTATCGCCACCCGCCGAGAGTCCTGTGTGTGTGTGTACCGACAGCAGCAGCAGGAGCTCATCAATGCAATAATCGTGTCCATCGAAGGCACACAAATGTACGCACGAATATACATACATACATATAGATATATATCCTTGATGAAGCTGTTGCTTTGGGTGCGAATTGTCTGTGTTTATTTCATTTTATTTGTATCTTGCTTTTTTGTTGTTGTTGTTGTTTTTATGTTTTTGTGTCTTGCCGCCCGTTTTCCCAAGGGAGGCACAAAAGGTGTGCTGCTGCCACCTTGATATATGTGCGAGTCCCTCTCTGTGGGTTGTGGGTCCTGCCAGTCCTGGCGAGTCCTGGCGAGTCCTGGCTCGCGGCGAAATCAAGGCGAGTGGCCCCGCTGCGCAACACGACTGCTTCCTGCAGCAACTGCTGCACTTACGGTTAGACGCAAGGACCTACTGCCCGTTGTTGTCCTTTCGGTCCGGTCCGCTCCGCTCGCCCGCTATCTGGCCAAATCTACAGCTGTTTTCGGTCCGGCCAAACAATGCGGCCATAATTCCGTGCGCTGCCCACAAAAACAAATGCAGCCCACAACTCTCGATTTAATTAGGCCGTCAATTGTGCAAGCCCTCGAGAAAATCGGGGAGGTATATGTACATATAGTTGCAGCGGTCAAAGGGGAGGCCTATATAGGTATGTATGTAGGTAGCTTAGGATTCGACGCTGGGAGTCAGAAATCAGGACTCTGGAATCTGGAGTACCTGGCTCCCTGGGCGGGCTTCCGTAAGAGTTTCCCACCCAAAATCAGAATTGCAACAGGACGAAGATGGGAAGATATTCCCACAATAAATGCTGCATCACAAACTGAAAATTATGGCAAACGATTTATAGCAAGAGTGTAAGTAGATGTAGTTAACATGTCGTATAAAGTGCTGCCAGATTTTTGAACTTTTAAAAATCACAAAAATTCTTTGTTACAAAATTCATAGTTGGTCGAGAACAACTAAATTTGGTTCACGAAAAAATGGTGTACATGCTCAAAAGTTTTCAGTTGTGTTTATAAATTTATATTTATTTTGGGTATATTTTACTGGAATAAAAATAATTTGGTAATAAGATAATATAATGAATCCTTCTACCAATTATAAATTATCATATTATATCAAATATTATAAATATGTGAAATTATAAAATATAGGTCTGTTTAAAATATCTACTCTTTGTGTGAGAGAATATTTATATAATTGTAGTAATTTGTCGATAGCTTTAATAAGTGTTTAATTTTGTTTTATGTATTTTCCATAGTCACATTTAAATTGATTATTTATTCAATGCAAAACTGCAAAAAATTTAACAAAGGCCAATGAAACCTGTAATTATTTCCAAGACAAGCAACTCCGAGCTTGTGACTTCTTGAAATGTAACGCATAATGTTATTGTGAAACATAAATATACTTTATAGTAAACTATAATTTCACAATTGGGTAGGTAGGCATAATTTTCCAATAAACGATCACTCATAACTTTCGGTCTGGAGCGTTCTGGAAAAGACGTTTTACCTGGATTAGCGGGGTGTGGTGTGATGTTGGTCATTTCCGTTGATCACTTTCTGGCCCGATTTGAATCCCAGGACACTTTCGGAGGGGTGAGCAGGCCAAGGTCATCGCGGCCCTGACTGCCAGTGAGCGGGAGGGAGAAAGGGAGTGGGAGAGGAAAAGCCAGGCTTCGACGGGCGAGAGCGGGATGGAGACAGGTAGGCAGCGCCTTTTTGGGGACCAGGTAGCCTCTCTTCGCTCTCCCGCTCTCTTTTGATCTCTCCCGTTTTGAGTGAGTGGCGCGGATTGGGCAAGTGGGAAAATCGAGTTGCAATGGCGACCGGACCCACAGGCAGCTGGTCTGCAGGAGCAAAAGGGATGGCGAGAGGACAGCCGGTTGGCAGGCTCTCACCTACCAACACAAGTACGCACTCATCCCAGGTAGACACACACACACACATACAGACGCACACAGGTGGCCTGGAAAAAGAGGACCTCGATCGATCGAAGCGGGAGCGGGACAGCCTGCGGATCTTCGGATCGGCTCGAAATCGGCGGTCTTCTTCTGGCTCGGACCATGGCGTACCGCTCGGCAATCGACGGCGGCGGTCGGCAGCGACGCCGGCAGAGGCCGCTCAGCGCGGCTCAGTTTCCATTTCAGTTTCGGTTTCGGCCTTTTGGCGCTGCTCATCGGGTCGGTAACGCTCTGGTCTGCTACCCGCAGCCTCTCAGCGAAGAAAGCTGGTCAAATCCAGCGCGACTTTGGGCTCAGTTCGGTTTCACACTCGGACGCGAGCAGAAGTGTCCGCGAATCAGTCTAAACACTAAACACTAAAAAAGGAAATCACCAGAGCCCCAGAAAACATAAACATTCAGAACGACCGATCGCACAGTGGTCAAATACAATACAATTATATACAATTATTTTTTTGCGAGTGTTGTGTTGCAAGTGACCCATCGAACGATCGACTATTTGGATTAATCACACGGATTTTCGGCAACGCAGGCGCACCACAATCAACGGGGATCCCGCGAGGATCCTGACCAACTCTACTTTTCAACTATAATGCGGTGTGTGTATTATTTTTAATTCAATCAAGATTCACAAGCAGACTCAAGTGAAGAGTGGAAAAAGGATATGCCGCACAGCATTTAAGGCAAAAAGGATATTTCACTAAAAATTTTCCACTCTTCATCTTGACCAACTCAACGATCAGCGATCTAAAAAATGGTTTTTTAATGCCAGCAACTGCAACGTAGGAATTATAAAAAATAATTAATTAATTTGTAAATATCTTAGATTCTTAAAAAATTAGAAAAAGAATAGTAATTTTTTCATGCATTTCATTTTGAATTACTTCAACTTCAATAGTATCCTTTAAACAATTCTCGCTCTCCTCGTTTGATTCACAAATCGAAAGTAGTCACCTTCAACATAATACATGAAATTTTCAATTTCGAAATAGAAATCAAAATCCAAAATTGTACTACTTTCGCGCTCGAATAGAAACCAAATCGCATTCGATTTATTGCCTAGAGAGGATCCTCGAAACGATCTTCAGTATTCGCTCAGGCTACTCTCGAGTTAATTGTCTAAATTAACAAGTTTTCCCCGCCCCCACATACACAAAACTCGCCCTGGAAAAGACAAAAACAACGAAAAAGCGAACAAAAAAAGCAGCAAAACAAACGCAGAGAAAATGTTAAAAAAAGCGAGCCAAATTGTTCAGAAATTTGTACGGTTGCAGTTGAACTCGCATTGAAGGAGGAGGGTCGGCGCATCATAACCACATATATATATTGTATTATATATATATATATATATATACAGTCCGTTCAAAGAGCGCCACCAAGTAGCCCCACCACTGGGCAACCACCGGGGGACTTATCCTGGCCAAGGATCCCCCCAGGGCCAAGCCTCTCTCTTAATTGTTTGGAGTCGCGAGTCGGAGAGTCCTGTGATCGCAGATCGTTGATCGTTGATCGTCTCGCGTTGAAGCTGAAAATCTGCTTAGTTGATTTACTTTTGCATTCTCGATACTCATTGTGTGTCTCTCTCCATCTATCTCTCCCACTCTTTATCTGCCACGCCCCCTTCTACATATATCTGCATATATCAACCGTATCCCCCCCATTGTTGTTGATTGTCCCACGTACAACCGCGTTATTGGTCGGATTTGGATACGGATACGGAATCGGGAACGGGAACGGATTGTGCGATTCACGGCGGACAGTTGGTTGGCAGTGCGCTGCGACCACAGCTAAAGGCACCACCACGGCCGGCAACGGAAACGGAAACGCCAACGGGAGCGGAAGCGGAAGCGGAAGCGGTAGTGGAAGTGCCCATCCCAGTGGATTCTACCATGCGGCAATGGCTCGTCCGCTGCTCCTGCTCCTGCCCATTCTCCTGATCGCCGCCCAGCTGCCCCAATCCGTCCAGGGGCGTAGCACCACCACCACCACTAGTACCGGTAGCAGCAGCACCACCACCAGCAGTGGTGGTCTAACGGTAATCGACGGCGAGCGACTGCGCGTGCGCAGCACCTCGAGCAGCGCCAGCAACCAGCCGGCGATCCCGGCGAGCGCCAGTCCGCGCAAGCGCCACCGCAAGCGGAACAGCAACTGGATCGACTACCGCAACTTCGACGAGAACACCACCGCCCTGGAGTGGGCCAATCCCTGCGGGGGCAACTACCATCCAGCGGCGGCGGAGCGCTTCAATCGCCAGCGGCCCAGGCAGGTGAGTTCAATTGGGAGAATTTGGTTGATTGATTGCTTTAACTAACCCTCTTTTTATCTTTTTTTTATTTTATTCCACAGAGCTTCAATCAGCTGAAGCGACACGCTTTTAGGGAGTACCGCAGCTTGAACAGCAGCCAGGACTCGGCCATCGACATCCGCAACATGACCATGTGGTCGCTCCACACGCACAACTACAAGTTCCTCCCCAAGCTGAAGCCCAATTCCACGGTAAGTCAACAAAACTCAATTGCAATTTAGTCCTTTTCAAAGAGCTGGTATCCCAAAGTGGCTCCGATTTTAAATAAGTTAATTTACTGTTAGTCGCAACAGATTCAAAAACTATTCAAGTGGTTTTTACAGAACTAAAATTATAAAAGCCATAGGTCCATTAGTTTTCTATGGAAACAAAGATTGCTATTTTTTAACAAATTTTTTTTTAACAAGATTCAATTTTGAAAAGGTACAAAACATCTAAAAAAATTGTTTAACCAAACTTTTCATACAAACTTTAATACAAAAACTGTTTCCTAAGCTTCTAAATTTTCTAAATGCAAGCACTAGTTTTTATTGTTTCTTTTTTCACAAATTTACAGTTACAAAACCCACTAATTTGAGAATATTTTTTCGTATTTCTTTTTCTGCCCCTCAGATTGCCCTGAAGCGCTGGTACCGCAACATGCAAACGTACGTGGCGAGCTTCGCGTATCTGCGGCGGCAGCAGATCCGCTGGGACCAGCGGTCCATCACCCGCGAGTCGAGCACCGCCCGCGAGCTGCGCGAGCTGCTTTTGAGCTCGCGGCGCATCCTCTGCGAGCTGGAGACCGCCGTCAACCAGACGCAGAGTCCGCGGCAGAAGCAGCGGCGCAGTGGTGCGGCGGCGCAGTCGACGTCGGCGGCAACGATGACAACGGTGGCGGTGGGTCAGCTGCCGCAGATATCGCGGCGCGAGATGAACAAGCGTCTGAAGCTGCGCTCCAAGACGGCCGGCGATCCGGATGGCGATTCGGGAGCGGGAGCCAGTGCGTCCGGCGAGGCGGACTCCATTGATATGCGGTTCGTGAAGCACCACTACTACGACTTCCTGCGCACCATGTACCAGTTGTTGCGGCGCGATGGCAAGAAGATCAGGAGTCGACCGCGCAAGCACCACCGGAAACAGCAGCAGCACCACCACAACCATCACCACCAATCGCAGCAGCAGCAGCAGCCGCAGCAGCAGCATCCGAAGAAGAAGAAGAGCCAGCAGAAGAAGCAGCAACTGGCGGAATTCAATGAGGTGTCCAAGCCATCGGCGGTTGGTGGTGCAGCAGCCAACGGTGGTTCGCAATTTGCGGCAGGAAGACGCGGCAAGCGACAATCGAAACGCGTGCAGCGCACGTGAAAGCCACATTAAAATCCAACCCCCACCACCCACTCCCCCTCAGGATGTCCAAGCCCCCACCCCCTCAATGAATCCTCCCCCACCCCCATTTCCCTGTTCCCCTTCTCCTTTCCCCTTTCTGCAACCCCTTCTAATTTAAACGTAGCTTAAGTAAATTATTTGATTGCCAGCATCGACTCTCTTCCCCATTTTATTGCAAGTATTACGCGCACATTCCGTATTTATTCAAGCCGACAAAAAAGAAAGAGAAAGAAAGAGAAATATAGAAGGAGAGAGTGAGAGAGAGAGAGAGAGGAGCATATATAGTTATAGCCAACTTATAAACGAACCCCATCAACCGCAGTGGCCGTTCTAGTCACATAAGAGCAACCGCCCTAGCAGTATCTGACCCACTGGAAGTATTATTTTCACCCACTCAACCACTCAACCACTGAACCACAAAAACCCCCGAAAAATCCCGAAATCCCCCATTGAGTACTATGTGACCCCCAAATTAGGCTAAGCTAAATCCCCAATCATTCCCCGTAGTCTAAGGCTTCTAGAGAATAAGGCACACACACACACACACTTTTTTTTCGTAGGCTAGCTTGTGTTTTGACATCTGTGATATAGTGCTTGACTAGTTCGTATTTAACCTAATTGTACATATAGATCGCATGCGAGTGCATCCATGCTTTCGTAGGAGTAAGCTCGCCCGTAGAAATCGATTTTCGTATTTATAGAACCGACCGATATATGACTAAGCCACCAGCGAAATAAAGCGAACAATAAACTGAATCGAATCTGAAAATAAAACTTGGTTGTTTTGAATGTTTGGAAAAAGAGCGGGTGGAAAACGTTTACAGTTTTGGAATAAAAAGGTTTCTATTTGGATTTTACCAATAGAAAACAAATAATCTTGGATTTAATAAACCCATTGCATAAAGGTTTGTTTGAAATTATGATTTTTAGACTCTTTTTAAAAGGATTTTCCCCCATCTCTCAATCTGTATAAATGTTGGAAAGATCAAGAAAAAAAAAAAAAAAAAACAAAGAACCAGTAGAAATTAAATTACAAAGAAAATTTTAGGTTCTCACCAAAAATCATTCTTAACTAAAGGGGTTTTTACCTTACTTTGATTTCGGTTAAATTATTAAATATAACTTTTCAATGTAACTAATACTTTGGATAACTTAACATATACTATACACTGATGATATGCATCAAATGTCTTTTTTTCATGTAAAAAATGTTTGGCGATCTATTACTATAATATTTATAACCCAAATTTTGAAACTATAGACCAAAAACAGTTTTCCAGTTTTTAATATAAATTTAATGAAATTATTTATGTTTGCGAGTTTACAGAGTTGTGTACGTCGTGCCCTGTTGTCTCCACTACTTTCTTTGATATATCAAAAATCTAGTAAAAATTACGGATCAGATCTTTGAATCAATCAGTCGGGGTTATTTTTTATACTGTCTGCTTTCCTTGTGGACCCAATAACTGCAGTTATCTTGACACACTTTCTGGGTTCTTGGCTGGTTCCCCCTGGCTCTCCATCTTTATTGCTCCTCCTTGGGTGATTGGGGTTTTATGATCTCCGGCGGCGTCAGACTATTAGCACGCCAATATGCGGCTCCCCACCTGCGACTGACTACCTGTCCCAGAAACCAATGAATGGACTCGGTGATCAATGAACCACTCAATGAAAGTTTGCGCCAAGTGCAGGACCACAAAGCTGATCACCGTGTTTAGAGGTCCTTGCGGATGCCAAGGAGCTGGGATCAAGGAGCAGATGAGCTGCCGCTTATCCTCGGGGTTAACTAAAACACGGCTGCACTTGTCTAGCAACTGGAAACTGGAATGAAATTGAATGTGTGTGTGTGTGTGTGTGTGTGAAAATCCCCGCTTTGTTTTAAGCGGATTTAGACAAATTTACTTTTTAATGCCTTGGCTTATTGCCAAGCTCCGTTTAGGGCGCTTAGTGGCAACTAACGGCCAAGAGCAGCCGGATTATTAGCGCTCAGCGAACGGAAGCAGTCTGCCGAGTGTCCTGCATAATGTCCTGCAAATGTCCCAGTGTCCTGCCGTCCGCAGTCCTTGCTATTGTCATGCAAATGGATTAGCACGAGACGCTGAGCGTACAAACATTTCGCCATGCATTATAATGCCGCCTAAGCCGTTTATTGATTGCAATCGATCGAAGGATGTCCAATCCAGTCCGGACTTTAAGCCGCTCCCGGGTCTTCGGTTATTTCTTCGGTATCTTTTTTCGGTCCTTTTTGGCCATAGTCGTCCATGGTCCCGTAGTCCATAGTCCATAGTCCGTAGTCCGCAGTGTCAAGTGTCCCCTTTTTCGGCCTGCAAATGCTGGCTGAGCCCTTTCGGGTAAGTAGGTGTTGTTATGTTTTTAGCTGTCATAAATATTGTAAAACTCGGTAAATATTTAAACAGCGTGCACAATAAAGGCAAATGCCAAGAGGCTCGACGGTTTTCGGGGCATTCCGGCACTTTGGCACTCTGACATTTTTGCCATTTTCAAATTTTGAATATTGAATATTCGAATACACGGATTCCTTCTTCTCATTGTTTTTGTGTTTTCCTGGCCTGGCCATAACCCATAACATAACGGTGACTGTCTGAGTATGTGTGTGTGTGTGTGTGGATGGGCTACCTGCCTCCCGTTTGCTGCTGAAATTTGAATATGTTGCCCAGGGCGAAAAGATTAACAACATTTAATAACCCATCATTGCGCTGTCTCGCTCGCACCCATTGTGTGTCGACAATTTTGCAAGATAACTGCATTTGTGCAGTCCTTTTGTGGCCGGGCCACTTTTTGCCATTGTCCTGCCATTTTGCGCTCCTCTTTTTCTTTCTTTCGGCCAGCACAAATTCCCAATATCTTTTTGTGTTTTTTATTGTCCTGCGGCACCTTCCTGGAATTAAACACCGGCGTCCTTCGGCCCGCAAAACTGCGTCCTGTCTTGCACGGACAGGATATCTGTATCTATTCTGGCCGCTTTGCCGTTTTGCCGTTTTCAAACTCAACTCGTCTTGGCCTAATGCCCAATCGAAAGGCCGACAAGTGGCAACTCAATTAGGCCAGCCAGGCTCAATTATACGGTTATGAGTTCCGTGGTGAATCCAGAAATCAACGGAAGAGCAGATGGGAACTGAAATTGTTGATTGATCAGCTATCAAGGATTCGAAATCCTTTTTGGGAAGCGATGGAATTCAAAATTTATCAGCTTAAATTAATCTTGAACATATATAATAATTAATATGTTCCTTTTGTTGTATTAATATAATGATAATATAAGAACATATAGAGCTGTGTTCGAATTGATCAATCAACAGTGAAAGTGATATTGGTTGATAAACTCTAAGGGTATCTAACTCTGTTCTTATTATATCTAGGTCATGTTCGAACTCATTTAAATGTTTATTGAGCTGGAATTAAAATTTATGTACCATTTTTAGGTGGGAACTTATATTATTGGAACCGAAATAAATAAATACATTTTATTGAAATATAAGAACATTTACACTTTAAAAATGTGACTTATTGAGAAGGTATTACATTTAGTAAGAATTGTTGCATGTACAAGTATGTAGTTATAACATAGGGAACTTAAAACCTTTAGCTCTATGATAAAATCAAATCATTTGAATTACCAAACAGAGAAAATGTTCCATAACTTAATAAAAGCAATACCAATTTTCAACTTAATTGAATTAATAAGGAAAAAAATGATCGAAATAAGCAATTAAAAGCCATGTAAACCCGACTAGCGCCGGCGATAAATAAAAAATGGGACGCAACAATTGAATCTATTAATTACTGGCTCTCATCGCGAATCGTAATTAATTCGTTTGTATGTGCAACTGCCAGCAGATGACATTTGTCACCTCGCATTCACTTTCCATAAACACACGACGAATTAATTGAAGATTATTTTGCGTATTCAGTTCGCTGCCGGCAATTCGTATGCCGACTGCACTGTCGCTTTTTAAACTCTTCACATCGCCCCAACATCTCATAATGTATCCCCAAGCGAAGGGGGGACTCCCCCGCCATTGCCAACCAATTAGCCATGAGCAATACGACGACTGGCAATTGAAATTCGATTTGTTTACAATGCGATTCAATTAATTTGTCAAATTGGTCGCGTGATTTGCATTTCAAAGCGTTCGCATTTCAATATTTTCCTTGTTTATTATTTTTTATCGGCGTTGCCGTCGCAGCGATGTTGTTATTGTTATTATTATGATTTTTTACAGTTGTTATTATTTACGTTTGCATAGCTGACTGGCGTTCAGCCCGTGCTGCTGTTCATCTCGTTTTTATTGTTGTTGTTGTAGTTGTTGTTTTTTTGTTGCTCTTGCTGTTGTTGTTGTTGTTGTTGTTGAACGGCTCGATGATGACAAGCCGCCAAGCGAATTTTTTAACCATATCACTTTAAGCCGCACAATTCACGCCGCCGCTTTTTGTTTACAAGCGCGGCAAAATTATGGGTTATCAACAGAAGCTAATGGCTTGGGGGCGAGCCAAAAGTTAAGTCGAAATTGGAGGGTTCAAACAGTGTCAATGGTTTTAAATTTTTGGATCATATTCAGTATTAGCAAAACGTTTTTTACGGAATCTTAAAAACCTCTATGAACTAATAGCTTACAAGTAGTTCTTGCCATGTTTACATAGTTAGCCTTACCATAAATAAACAATAAATATGAAATACTTATAGTATCAAATTATTTTATTGGGAAAGTTCAATATTTATCGTATTGAAAGCAAAGTTTTAACTGTATAAGCATTATTGAATGCTTTGTTGGAAATTAATATAAATAATGTAGATACTATTTATGGCATTTTTTAATTAATGTTGATTAAATAAAAGTATAGCTGTTAATTTAGTTTATTTTATAAATAACTGACTTCAATTAATGTAGGAGTACTAATACTTATACTTTAACTAACTTAACTTTATTAAATGTAGCTTTGCAATATAAAAGAAAATATAATGTATATATTTATATATTTTTGGGTAACTAATTACTAATTAAAAATATTAATTCCAATCCCCCTTATTTCAC